ACAGAGAGGAAGGGAGAGAGATAGAGAGTTAGAAACATCGATGAGAGAGAAACATCAATCAGCCGCCTCCTGCACATCTCCCACTGGAGATGTGCCCGCAACCCAGGTACATGCCCTTGACCGGAATCGAACCCGGGACCCTCCAGTCCGCAGGCCGATGCTCTATCCACTGAGCCAGACCGGTTTTGGCAAGAAAGGGTACTTTTGTTTCTGTTTAAACTTTACCTTTTTGGTAAGATCACTCAGAAGGAAAGCTTGGCGTTTGGGGGCAGCCGTTTCTTGCCGTGTGATGCCAACATGGACTTCACCACCACCGGCCCTGGCATGTGCTCAGCAGAGGGCTTTCTCATGGGGTTTACTCTGTCTTTTACATACAAGTAGCACGTGACCAGTTTCCAATGCTCTTGGCATTTTATGAAAAGAACCACCACTAAGCCCTAGCCGGTTTGGCTCAGTGGATAGAGCGTCGGCCTGCGGACTCAAGGGTCCCGGGGTCGATTCCGGCCAAGGGCATGTACCTTGGTTGCGGGCACGTCCCCAGTGGGGAGTGTGCAGGAGGTGGCTGGTCGATGTTTCTCTCTCATCGATGTTTCTAACTCTGTCCCTCTCCCTTCCTCTCTGTGGAAAATCAATAAAACATATATTTAAAAAAAAAAAAAAACCACCACTAAAAAAGAAAAACTGCATACAATTGGGTTATTCTCTTTTGTTTTGCTTTACAAATGCTTAAGAACGGCTTTTGAAGACTGTTCCTACCTCATTAGCTAGTCGAGATCCGGTGATGACCAACCTATTCTCCAGAATATTTTTGGAAAAAAGATTATGAAAATAAAAAGCATATACATCTTGGCTTTGGCTATTGAGGGGAAAAGAAAAATAATTGAGAATTGTGTTCCTGATGACATGGGTATGTTCGAAGAGTACTGTGAAAGTCTGAAATAGTAAAAAAGTGCTGGCTAATATTTAGGAATTTTTCTTGATAGTCTGATACTCACTTTTTATGGAAATCCAGTGAAACACTCAAAAGTTTTTTTTTGTGTGTGTGTGTGTGTGTTTAAAAATATATTTTATTGATTTTTTACAGAGAGGAAGGGAAAGGGATAGTCAGAAACATCGATGAGAGAGAAACATCGATCAGCTGCCTCCTGCACACCTCCTACTGGGGATGTGCCCGCAACCAAGGTACATGCCCTTGGCCGGAATTGAACCTGGGACCCTTCAGTCCGCAGGCCAACACTCTATCCTCTGAGCCACACCGGTCAGGGCTGTGTGTGTTTGTGTTTGTTTGTTTTTCAGTAGTGGTTTTCCAGATAAATTCTAGGAGTAAAATCTTTACATAGTCACAAACATGTACTTCTGTAACTGTGGAATACCTGTATGCTTTGTTGGGTACATCTTCCATGGAGATGCCAATGGATATACTACTACATCTGTGAATATTTTTTTTATTTGGCTATCTGTGAATATTTTATTTATTTATTTTTTAACATATATTTTATTGATTTTTTACAGAGAGGAAGGGAGAGAGAGAGAGAGTTAGAAACATCGATGAGAGAGAAACATCGACCAGCTGCCTCCTGCACATCTCCTACTGGGGATGTGCCCGCAACCCAGGTACATGCCCTTGACCGGAATCGAACCTGGGACCTTTCGGTCCGCAGGCTGACGCTCTATCCACTGAGCCAAACCGGTTTCGGCCATCTGTGAATATTTTAAATGTTGAAATAAAAAATAAGAAACGTGGGGGAAAAAAAGAGGTATCTAGGCAAAGTTGGGCAGACAAGAGGACACCTGAGGGCGGGCCCCGGTGCCACCACTAATTGTGACCCAAGTCCCAGGACCACCAGCCTCTTCTGGGAGGGAGGGTGGAGGCCTGGGGGACGTGCACGCCAGACTGGCCCTGGCTGGCTTCGCATCCCAAGGTGGAAGGTGGGACAGGTCTCTCCAGGGAATTGTCTGGGTCCCTCCCAGCTTGAGACTCCAGCTCCTGGGGGGGTTATGGAAGGGAGTGTGTAGATGTGTCTGCAGCTAACAGGAAGGTAAAAGATAAGGGGGAATCTTAGAAGGAGGAAGAGGTAGCCCACTGGCTGGTATGCCTCAGTGGTTGAGCATAGAACTATGAACCAGGAGGTCATGGTTAGATTCCTGGTCAGGGTACATGCCTGGGTTGCGGGCTTGATCCCCAGTGGGGGGGGTGTGCAGGAGGCAGCTGATCCATTACTCTCATCATAGATGTTTCTATCTTTCTCCCACCTCTCCCTCTCTTAAATATATATATATATAAATTTTTTTTTTAAGAGGCTGGAGAGTGGGTGCCTGGGTCTTCAGAATGAGGGAGAGCCCGGTTCCGGTTCCCCACCTCCAGGCCCAAGGAGCTTGGTGCCTTAAGCTAGGCTGGCACAGTGGAGGCCAGGGGTGGGAACAGCATGCCCACCCACCTTTCTACCAGCCCTGCTCAGCCGCACACAGGGCCGTTCTGGCTGCAGCTTCTGAAAAACCGGCCACTGGCCTTCCCTGAAGTGATGCTTTCTGAATGGCGAAGGGACAGAGTGTCTCGGGGATGAGTGCAGGGACACAGCTCGGCCCTCAGGAGCCCTGGCCCAGAGTCAAATCTTGTTTCCTGGGCCACTGCACTGGGAGCAGCTGCGTGGTCCCAGGCTCCCTAGGAGGGCGGGGGAGGGTAAGCCCCTCCGAGCTCCTGGGGCTGGAGGGACAAGAGGTTCGCAGGGTTAGGCTGGGAGGGGAGGGGAGGTGGCCAAACCCTATGGGAGATATAGCTGGGACTCCGCTCATTGGCTAGCCTGGCCTCTTCGATGCAGCCACCGGCGGATAGAGACATGTGCCAGGAGTGCAGGGAGGCCACCGTGAGGGACTAGGAGCTCCCCTGGGATCCTAGGAGCAGCCTGGGCTCCATGCCCGCCTGGCCTTACTTTCCCATCTGTAATTTGGGGATAACAGAAGTCTCTCTCTTATAAGGAGGACGACGCATACTTTACCGCTAACAGAGCTTGGCACGGGCCTGGTACTCAGTAAATGCCTACAAATGCCTACTAACTATTCCCCAAAGGCTAGCGGGGCCGTTCTGGGTAGAATGTGGGGCATTTTTATTTTATTTTTTGAATTTCCCCCAAATTTTCCAAACTGCTATTGCAATCAGAGAAAAGGCAACCACTGGGTTTTAAATGGAGAATCCTGGTGGGCAGGGGGATGGGGGAGGGGGGAGAGGGAGGAACTGGGTCTCCCAAATTTGTTCATTTATTCTGCTCAGTTTTTTTAATTTAAAAAAATTTTTTAAATCTATTTTTATTGATTTCAGAGAGGAAGGAAGAGGGAGAGAGAGACAGAAACATCAATGATGAGAGAGAATCACCGATTGGCTGCCTCCTGCCCACCCTCCAACTGGGATCGAGCCTGCAATTCAGGCCGGTGCCCTTGACCGGAATTAAACCTGGGACCCTTCAATCCACAGGCTGACACTCTATCCACCGAGCCAAACCAGCTAGGGCCCGCTCAGGTTTTGAGCAGTGGGTGGGTGGTGTTTGTTTTCTCCAAAAGCTAACCAGCTCCAGATCAAACACTCCTGCTCTGGACACTGGGCAGCCCCAATGCTTGCGGGGGAGGGGGGGGGCAGGCATGGGAGGGTAGGGAGTGGCCAGACCAGAGAGAGGGGAAGACCTCCACTCACAGTGGAGTAGAGACTCAGGTGGGACCCTAGAGGGACCCAGGCCCAGCTGCTCAGCCTAACAGTCAGACAGCCCATGTCGGGGGCAGAAAGAAGCGTCCTGGCTCAGTCCTGAGGTTGCTTAGGGGGAGGGGGGGGCAGATTATAGCCCATGAAGCAAGGACAGACTCTGGCCTGTGCTGGGGGAGGCGCCCAAGGCCTCATCACTAAGGCCAAGGTCAGACACAATGCCCTTCTTCTTCTTCTTCACCAAAAGACCCCTGCCCCAGGGCCCCATGTCCGCCCAGCACAAGCCTCACTGGTCCAGAGGAAAAGGTCCTTTACTGGGTTCCAGCGGCAAGGCCCTCTGTGAAGACCCCCCGCACCCCCACCTCATCATTCTCATGAGACAGCCTCAGAACAATCCTGCAACCCCACCCTTTTACAGACGAGGAAACTGAGGCCTCACATCAGAATAGCAGAGCTAAGATCTGAGGGCAGCCCCAAGCCTCTGCCCTTGACCCCAGCACCTTCACCAGGCCCCTGAGGTCACTGAGGGCCCAGGGTCACTTCAGCCCCCCTCTGCCGAGCCCTGGGGACTGGCTGTTGGAATGACAAGAACCTACGAGAGCACAGAGAGGAAGTTCCCATTTACAGATGGGGATGAGGAGGCCACGGGAAGGAAAGCATCTACCCAGCTTCCTGCAGGGATGACGGCCCTGGGACACGGGCCTGAGACGACTGGCTCCCATTCGGTGCCCTCCCCGCCGCCTCCCCAGCAAAGCTCATGAGGGCCCCAACCACAGGCAACCGGCCGACAGGGCGCCTGCTGGCTGTGGAACCCCTGGCCGGGCCCACGCCCACCCTCAGCAGGTGCTCTGTCCGGCTCACGTCCACGGGCAGGAGAAGAGCAGTTACCTATCTTGTAGGGGCCCAATAAATGGTCACTCCGCGCTGGGGGGGGGGTCTCCCACAACACGGAGCCCTCCGGAGACTGCTTTCTGTTACAGATTTATTTGATATTTGAACGAGTCTACAAGTTCAGACCCACATGTAACGGATTGCTTCGTGGTTGTCGGAGGCTAGTGTGCGTTACTCTGGGGGTAACATTCAATGACGCGACGCAGAACACACAAACGGATGGGGATGTGATCGTTCAGACAAGAGACGCTGAAACGTGCCTTCGTGTCCAAGTGATTGCTCTAAGGCGGGGACCCCGCTGACTGATCCAAAGTGAGGTGGCTTCTCACCACCAGGCGCCTGGGACAGAAACTGGAACCCAAACCTGGGGAGCCTGCTCTTCCAGGGGCGACCCCCCCCACCCGCAGCCCCGCCTCCTCCCACAGTCTGTGCTGACGGAAGCAGCTGAGGTGAGTGGTGGCACTGGGCACACTCATGACACATGAGGTGGGAACGCAGAGTCCGGGCGAGGTAGCTCCTCTTGGCTCCTTAACACTGTGACGAGGGACAGGGAGGATGGAGCACCGTCGTCCGGGATTAGCCAACCCGAGTCTCCTCCCATCTTGGCAGCTCCAGAACATCCCCTCTGGCCAACGGCCACAGAAGTGAGCGCCTGCCAAGACACATGGGGGAGAAGGAAAACAAGACACCAAAAACAAAACAGAGAAGCCCCCCCGCCCGCCCCCAGGGGAGGAGAGGAACAAAGAGAACTCTGGACCAAGGTCAGCAGATTCGGAAGACACCCGGGGGAAGGAAACACTCAGTCCTGCCGCGGAAGCTGCGCCCACCCTGAGACTCCAACTCACTGGCCTTTAGTGTCTTTTTTTTTTAAAGTTTTTTCTTTTTAATACCCAAACCTTCAATTTTCAAAGCTTAAAAAATGCTTTACTTAAAAAAAAATCCAAAGCGGGCGAGGCAAGCCCCAGGCCTGGCCTGCCCACCTGGTGGCCTGCTCTCCACGGGCTGGGCCGCCAGAGCCCAGCCTGGCACCACGGGGTGACCGTCCCCAGCTGGCTCGCCCTGGCCACTCTGCTCAAGTCTGGGTGGGCACTAAATGCTGGCGGCGGCGCCACAAAGGGAAAGCAAAACAGCCCACTCTTCCTCCACACCCCCGTGAGCTGTTTTCTTGGGAATGTGTAAGTTATCGGGAGGAGGGAGCGGGAGGCGGAGAAAAATAAATACCAAGAGCTAAGTCGATGCCCCGGCCTCTGGCATGGGCTCAGCCTCTGGGGCAGAGATGGCCTCCAGGGCGGAGGCCTGATTGTCCGAACACTGAGCTCTGAGACAGATGACAGGCGTCTATTTCCCCAGCAGGCGCCTGCGGGGCACGAGTCTCAGAGGGAGTAAAGGGGCCAGCCCCTCGGGTACTGCCCGGTCACCCTGGCCCAGCTCACGGCCAACCCCAGGCTCCTGCCTGGCCGAGAGGCTGGGCGGTTGTCCCAGGGTTTCTGGGC